CTTTCATCAGGAGCTGGTAGAGATGCATCTTGAAAGCAGCCAAACCCTGTAGCCGCACCAACGCTGACTTCCTGCCCTTGAGAACAGCCTTTGGTTACCTCCACCATTACCACTGGGAACAGATGAAAAGAATACATGGAAAACCTCTGTATCCTTCCTACGGCTCCTTGGGAGTCTAAAATTATTTCAAAAGAAAATTTAAAATGCAAAAAAGCTAACAATCAAAGGTCATTTTTAAGAGGCTTAGGGATTGAAGCAAATAATGGTTTTAAGAAACCCTAATTATCCCAGTGTTTCAAAACCACCACTGGCTTTTGACCACCTCAGTAAGACTTAGTGTACGTCTCGTCTTAAAGATTCTATGTCTATTGTTGGGGATTTTTTAAAAGTCCTTATCCTGACATAGTTTCCAGTATTGAAATAAAATGGAAAACACAATCCTGTTTTTATACAAAATCCTGCTTAAAATTTGGCAGCTCTTCAAAAAGTTAAACATAGAATTACTATATGATCCAGTAATTCCACCCCTAGCTATATATCTAAGATTATTGAAAACACATGTCTTCATAAAAACCTGTACATGAAAGTGGAAACAGCCTAAATTTGCAGAAATTTCAACAGAAATGTGGTACAACTATATATGAATGTAAAATGGAATATTATTTGGCCATAAAAAGGAATGAAATGCATTCTAAAAAATGGATGACTGTAAGGCCACATGGTCACAATGTGACGAGATGCACAGGCAAAATCATGGAGATGGCGAGGGCATCAGTGATGGCCGGGGCTGAGTGAGGAAAGGGCGGGTAGGATAAGGAATGACTGGTACTGGGACTGGGCTTCTTTCTGGGCTAACAAAAATGTTATGGAATTAGAGGGTGGTAATATTTATATAACTTTCCAAATACATGAAGAACCACTTTAAAGCACTGAGTTTTATGATTTATATTTCAACTTATAATTTACTTTTATTTTGGGTACCAGGAGTTGAACTCAGGACCTCACATTTGCCAGACAAGCGCTGCACCACTGAGCTAAATCCCTAACCCTACCTCAATTTTTTAAAAATTAAATAATTCTGCGTAAAGAAGGATGTTGCTTTCTTCCCTCCCTTCCTTTCTCCTTCAGGTCTTTCGTGTCATGCTGAGGCTTGTCCCTGAGTACTCTGTACAGGGCTGGAAAGCATTACATTTCATTCAACAAATAGCTATTAGGGGGCATGGGGGCAGGGCGAGGAGCAGGCCCAGAAGCATTTCTGAAAGTACATAATGCAAAACCAGTCCCCGCACACCCAAGAGCCCGCCTCAGAATCGGGGGACTTCCTGAAGTAAGTATGCACCAAAACTTTGCTAGGTGCAGCATGCCATTCAGCCTTCAACAACGTCGATGAGATTTTCTGGATTCCTCTTTATAAATATTAAACCTACATTTTCAAACTGTTACTAGACATTATTGGTTTCCAGTGTTTCTGGATTTAGAGGCAGGGGACAGAGCTCAGCGATACAGTGGTTGCCAAGCATGGACCAGGTCATGAATTCCACCCCCAGCACCACATACCCATACAGGAGGGCGCATGCACACATATTTCTGTATTTAGAAACATTTGTGATGGTTCTGGAGCTTTTGGAAATCTTTTTTCTTTTTTCTTTTTTTTTTTTTTGTGGGAACACGTTGGAGACCACAAATTCAGAATGGCTAATTCTGCATTATTTCCCTATGGGACAAAAGCAAGGATTGGGATTATTGGTACCACCCATCTGAGATTTCCCATTGACTTTTCTAAACATAAGAAAATCTACACCTTCACAAGTCATCACAGGATTATACTCCAAGTCAAGATACTTCTAAGGTTATCTACAACCTCTTGAGTCTGAATCTTTGATGAACTGTAACCCTTTACTAGCCCCACCTATCACCGCATACACCCAATAAATAGTGAATGCTTTGCGAGTGGACAGGTCCGATCCAGAGACACTGACCTCCCAGCCACTGATGGACTACTATACTTGTCTCTGTTTTTTATTTTACTCGGTGCACTCTTAAATCAGGACTCTTGGCCAGGTTCTCAATAGGGCCAGGGTCTTGCTGTATAGTTCGGGCTAGCTTTGAGTTCACTCTGTAGCCCAAGCTGGCCTTGAACTCCACAGCGATCCTTCTGCCTCAGCCTCCTGAGTGCTGGGATGATAGTCATGAGCCACCACACTGGGCTAGAGGAATTATTTTCATTGGCTCTCGCCTGGTCTTCACCTCTATAGGCTGAACATCCTCACGGCTTGGGTGGTCTTCATAGGGCAGTGGGCTCCCCACCTTGCAAGGTTGCCCTGCACAGAGCACTCACATTTTGTATAAACACTGGACTGTGCTATCTGTATTATCTCCCACGATGCTGAGCTGGAGATGTCACTAAACTGAGCATACACTGAGCTTTAGGAGCAGAAACCTGCCGTCATTTCCCTGGCTCTTCCACGGGGCTGTTTAAAAGCTAGTCAGCTGACAGGGAAACCACATAGCCTCTCTGCTCACAGTCACACCTTAACACGACTCTGTGACATCCACCTCTTTCCTCACTAAATCCCCCCTGAGACAGGACACATCATCACACACCGTATTTCCTGAAGGGGACCCTGCAGCCTCTTGTGAGCCCTTCTAGATTCAGAACTCCAGAGACGCAAGAGAGAAACCTCCCGGGAGGGTGACCAAAACCTGTCAAAGTTGTGAACTGTGGTCCTTAGTTTCAAAAATTATTGCACGAGAACAGCACACAGAATAAATAAATTACAAGTGTAGGTAAATGGAAAATATGAACACAAGTAAACAGAGACGTGCTAGGTAAAAAATGCAAACAACAGTGTGGAGGTGGATGCTTCTTCTAGAATTTCCTTTAAATTACTGCTCCACTGTTTATCTGATAAGAAAGGAGACACAATGGAGACACAAGTAGCTGGTGGCTCTTCCTGTAACTACAGGAATATGTGAGCTGACAGTCATCCCCAGAGCGGGCTGTGAGGGTTCCTGCCTCTATGAGCTCAGTGTCTCGCTGCATCATCCACCGGCTGACTGCTGCGTACTGTAAGGAGATTTGTGAAATCCTCACTTCCATTAACCCCAGCTCTAATCCCTGAGCAGATGATCTAGCAGTTTGTGCTTCCCTATCCAGCAGGCCTACTTAGGCCTTTCTTTTGTTTCTTAGTTTCAAGCAAAATCAAATTTACTGAATATGTGAGATCTCGGAGCTCATCGTAAGTTTGAGCCCAGCCTGTGCAATTTAGCAACTTAGTGAGACTCTGCAAAGAAAGAATAAAAAATAGCTCGAGCATGTGGCTCTGTGCAAAGGCCTCAGGGTCAATACCCAGTGTTGCCAAAAAACAAAACGAAAAGAGAAGTAAGAACAACAGTGCACCCACAGTGAGCTTTTCTGGGTGTGCAGCACTGCAGCAACCCACTGCTGGGTGCCCAGCCCAAAAGAGTAATTTTAGCTTTTCAAAGTTCTTCTGTACAAAGGGTCTCATGAAAGCCTCTAAACAAGCCAGAAGAAATGAAGGTTCCCCCCACACCACCCTCTGAAAGTGAGACTTTGAGAGATGGGCTCCCTCCCAACACCACGATCCTCTCCAATGTCGCCACACACAGGGCTCACCTTTGAGGCTACAAGGATTGTGCAGTGCAAGGTATTCGATGACAGAGGAGGTAAACCAGAAACAGCCGTGGACGCAGGCCCAGGGACAGGGTCAGATCTGCCGCTTACTGACTGGGAGACCGCAGTGAGTTGTTTCCTCAAGTATACAATGATTCCAGCTCGCTCAGAGCGTGCCAAGCATTTGGCACTTAGCAGGTTTACAACACTTCTTAGGTTCTTCACGTTATCATCACCTCTAGAGCTTGCAGGGGCTCACGGATCATGAAACAAAATATTTCTGCTCTAAAAGTCTGTGTCTTGAGAATACCATGGAATCAAAGGGATTTTGCTGACAGAGAAATACTTTTTAAAAGAAGTAACACTTTTCTGGAGCAACTTAAACTAATAAGGGAGTACATTCACCAGCATCCTCCCAGAAAAATCAATAGCATTACTCACACAGGTCGAAAAAGCTTGAATGTCCATTATAGATGAGTAGATAAAAAATGTCGCAAGTATTACAATGGAATATCATTCTACTTTAAAGAGAGGGAACTTTGCCCAGGGCTATGATAGGGCCGAACTTTGAGAATGCTAAGGAACACTTAAAGACAAATACAACTGTATCGATTCATTTACAAGCGGCACCTAGGACAGTCAAGTTCAGAGACAGAGAATGGAAGATAGGTTATTGACCTGGCGAGAAGAGAGGTTAAGAATAGCTGCCTAACAGACAGAGTTTCTGCCTGGATGCTGACCAAGTCCTGAGAACAAACGGCAGTGATGACATACAATATGGAAAACTGAACCATCCTGGTAAAAATGGTTAAAAGGAGCTTGATGCAGCGGTGCACAACTGTAATCCCAGTTGCTGGGGTATAGGAGCTAATTTAGGAAATTAAAAGTTTAAGACTAGCCTGGGAAGCTGACCCATCTGTTTCAAAACATAAATTTATAAAGGAGTGGGGCCAGTTGTGGTGGTACACACCTGCAATCTCAGTACTCAGAAGGCTGAGGCAGGAGGATTACTGTAAGTTGAGGCCTGCCTGGGTTACATAGTGAACTCAAGGCCAGCCTGAACCACATAAGGAGACACTGTCTAAATAAACCAAAAAAAAAAAAAAAAAAAAAAGAGCATACAGATGCAGCTCAGGGGTACAAAACTTGCCTTGCATGCATGAGGGCCAGTAACACACACACAGGGTTAGACTGGTGAATTTTATGTTACATAAATTCTCCTACATTTTTAAAAAACAGCAAAGATCCATATACAGAGGGCTGCGCTCAGTCTCCCAGGTTTGGCGCCTCTGTTGGGCCCAGCTCATGTCCTCTCCATGGGCCTGCGCACGTCCAGGTTGTCCAGCTCATCCTAAAGGTGACTCACCAGGCCGGAGGTCCACAGCCACCTCCTGCGGGGCCATCTGAATGACATCCGAGCCCATGGTACTGGAGCCCTCCGTGCTGAGAGGCAGGCTGTGCAGGACCCGCGTGCTGCTGGCCGGACTCTCGATCTCACCGCCACAGCCGTTCTGGAGGAGGTTTGCCTTCAGGTCACACCGGGAGGTGACTGACCTCGAGCTGCCAAAGACCTGGGGGGAAACAGAGGCACATACAGGAGGTGCTGGGTCATCTCTGCAGCACATCTCTCTATCCCGTTTGAGCCACTAAAACTGGAGACATTGATAATCCCCATCCCAAAAGACTCACTGAGAATTGGGAGGATTAACAGAGTGGCAGATGAGAAAGTATTCGTAACTGTAAGCATTTTATAAAAATGTTTGGTTTTAGCTAGGTATGGTAGCATATACCTGAAATCCCAGCACTCTGGGAGGCTGAGACAAGATGGTTACAAATTTGAGCCCCGCCTGGACAATTTAACCAGCCTATGTCTCAAAATAAGGTCTGGGGGCATAGCTCACTGTAAAAGCTCTGGGTTCAATCTCCAGTATCACCAAAAGAAATGAAAGGAAAGGTTTCGTCATTATTTTGATAATTGAAATTTTCCCTTCTACTTCATCAGCCAAAGAAATTGAAATAGTCAAAGTTTATGCAGATAATTTGTATGTGTGTATATGTGTGCAGTGTTAGGACACGAACCCAGGATGCTCTACCACTGAGCTACCTGTCAACACCTTTTTATTTTTTATTTTGAGACAGAGTCTAAGTCCCAGAATTTGAGATCCTTCTGTATCAGCCTCCCAAATAGATGGGATTTCAGGCATGTGCCACTATACCCAAATAAAGAATTACTTTTAAAGATACATGGTCCTTGTTTGAGCATTTGAAAATGAATTTTTGAGCTTTTGAGTTTGTGCATCAGCTTTTATATGTATTGAATCCTGCACAGCCAATTATGGAGGCAACGTGGCAGCATATATGGAACCCATGACTCAGCCATCCACTCCACTGTGTCAGCAAAAACAATGGGAAGAAAAGGGAAGATCTGTGCGAAGATCTGCACTGCAGTACCAGGATAATATCACAGTCACCTGTAACCTGAGCCCCTAACTATAAGAAAAATATGCCGCAGTACTTCAGTATAGTCATGACAAATAAGTATTTGACGAAGACTAAGCAGAAATTCCAAAAACCCTATTGTTTTTTCTGCCCGTCAGAGAAATATAAATTAAAACTACAGAGAGCCGGGATATCAACAGGATTTTGGACAGATACTCCCAGTCCATGATGAAGGTCCGCCTGCTGGGACCAAAAAGTCCAGATCACGCTCCAGAGACTGGAGGTCTGGGGCAGCCAGGCCCTGGCCCCCACTACGCCCTTCAACTCAGGGCCTCCTCACTCTCCAGCTGTTGGTGGCAGAGCCCTCTTCAGGTTGAGAGACCAGGCTTCCTTGAAGCTGGCTGCATCAACAGCAAGAACCATGGACTCTGGCACCGTCACCTGGATGCCAGCCCGAGAACCACCATTGGTCATGTGAAAGCTGCAACTTCAGTGTGGCATCAGACATGCCAGCCAAGTCAGCAAGGTGCCACCACAAGGGATTCCCCTTTCAGCAGCTCCTGCTTGACAGCAAAGGACTGTCCAGAACACACTCGGACCCAATGGGGCTTCTCAGTGCCAACCATCTCTGCTGCCAGGTGCCACCATCTCCGGGTCCACACAGCAAAGCTGCTTGCAGGTCCAAGCTAGGCCTGCCACTGTTTCAGCTCTGGGGCCTCAGGGTCAGCAGTGAACACACTGTGGACATGGTGGCTCTGGAGGCTTGGGGAGAAAAGCTCCACTTCACAAGGGCTCCCCCAGCTGCGACTATCTCGTACAATCTGAAAATGGCCATGGTGGATTCCCAGCCATGGTGTCCTGCTGCCCTGGAAAAGGACAGAATGTGCTGCAGACCCTTGCAGGGAGCGTCACCCCCAAGCCCCAGAGCATCTCCTCCCTCTCCTGAGCTGTTTTCTAGATAAGTTTAATTCTGAACAAGGACAAATGCCCATTTAAAAAGAGGAAATCAAAACCAGAGACCAAGGGCATATCTTCTGATGCTGATGACCTTCCAACTGCACAAACAATATAAATCAAGAGAATGTCTCACTGGCCACATTTCTAAGCTGTACAGTCAACGGATGCAGATACCTCCAATTATAAACCCTGGGAGAAAAATTCATGATAAGAAAAATCCTCCCAGGCCATCTGGATATGAAACGTCCATGAGCTCCAGGCTCCAGAGACCTGATGCCGGCTCTCTGCCAGACAGCGGAATCCAGCACATTCCAAGCACATCTCAGGCCTCAGGCCTCTTCCACAGGAACCAGAGGTCCACAGCCCTCAGGCTGTCCAAGGAGCTGCGGTGGTCTGGCCCCAGCGACCCCGGCTCGAGTCTGGTGCTTTGCGCCATCTGCTTCTGTCTCAGCCAAGGCTCCTGCAGATTCTACAGCAGGAAATGACTTGGCCTGCACTCCTTGCCTCAGCGTAGGGCTTCGCTGCTGCCCTGGGTGCAGAAACGTCCCTGCCACCTATCAAACTCGAAGGTCAGCCTGATACAGAGCATGGCACAGAGTGGGCTCATAGGGAAGGGGTGGGAGAGTTCTCATTTCAACAAGGACAAGCAGGTGTGAGCTGCAGAATGGGTCACAGTGTTACAGTCCCACAGAATGGGACCCTCAGTGATGGGCTGGTAGGGTTGTTAATGCATGAAAGAGAGCCCACTAGCATCTCTGGAAATGCCCTCATCAAACTCTCCAGGACACATACAGGCCCTCATTAAAGGCAAGTGGCCAACAACAGAAACAGAACAGGAACTTGAAGCATCCATGGGGACCTTTATTTTTATTTATTTATTTATTGTATTTTTTATTTTGCGACAGTACCTCACTTCATTGCTAAATTGCCCATGCTTGGTTCACATTTGCAATCCTCCTACTTTAGATGCTCAGAGTTCTGGGGTTACAGGCATGTGCCACTGTGCCTAGCTATCTTGGTGGCTTTTGACACTGTGGTAATGGCAAAGAAAAGGAAGAGAGGTTGCCCAACTATGCAGCTTTAGTTTTTCCAACACTACTATTGAACCTGTTGTATGCCATGCACTTAATATACCCTGGTAACACCTGCCTCCTGTACATGCTGTTAATTAAAATCCTCTCCCTGGCCAGGTATCGTGTCACAGGTCTATAATTCTAGGAGACGGAAGCAGGAGGATCACAAATTAGAGCCCAGCCTTAGCAATTTACTTACGGAGAACCCATCCCTCCCCCCAAAAATAAAAAATGGGCTGGCTGTACCACAGGAAAAAAAATAACTCTTTCCTCCTAGTCCGAGTGTTATGGGCAGCTCAGTGGTACAGAATGCAGGCCTATGCATTCAGGTTCTCCCGTGAACACCACCAACTGTTGACACTGGAAACTCTAACCAGATGTGGAAGGTTGTTTCAGGTGTTTTAGACGATGGACAAATTTATGCGTGTCTTAAGAAACGGAAGAGGAAGACCCTACAGGCCCCAGAAGAAGAGTCCAGAAGGATGGGCTCCCGGGATGCGGAATAAGCAGCTGAAGAGCCCAGGCGGGAAGTGGGCACAGGTGGGAGCTGGCCACCTGGATGCCGCCTCTTACTGTACACAGTGGGCCAGGTCCCTGCCCAGCTGAGGTTGCCACCCAGCTGGCAAACCCTGTGGATCTGAAGGGACAGCAATGAGTGACAAGCAGGCATCATGTGCCAACAGCACGCTGCCACGCATACTCTCTGCCTGGGGAATATTTAGTTGGCTCATTTAATTCACCAAACAAATGTCTACGTGGCATCTGCAACAGGCCAAAGTTATTCCATTCATTTGGTCCAAGCACAAAGATGCTTTCTTTAGGAATCAATATTTTATCGTGAGCTGGACTCGACCTGGTATTTTTTCATTTCCTTCCCAGCTTGAAGGAAAATAGAGTACTCCCTACCTTTCCTGCCCCAGAAGTCCCATCCTGCTTCCCAGTCTCTCGTCTGCACCCCTTCTCACACCCAGCCCTGTACCCTTCCTTCTTCCCCACATCTGTGCCAAGGCCAGGACCCCACCTTGCTCCAGGCCACAGCAGCAAAGCATCCCCCAGGCATCCAAGCATCTGAGGCCCACTGTTCTCCACAGTGGTCCAGCCTAGCCCAGTCCTCCTCCTGCCAGACCTTGCAGCAGCCTGGTACTGTGTCTTTTGTCCTCTCTGGGGTGCTGACCCCAGATGTCCTCCTGCAGTGACACTGGGCTGCATGCCTATAGCACAGCTACTGATCCACCTGACTCACTCGTGTGTCACTCCTGACCATGGTGAGCAGTTCTTCCTGTGCTCACTGCAATTAGGTGGCCATGTGGCTGAGTTTTAAATGGGAAATGAGGACAGAAGGAATGGTGGGCCACCCTGGCCTTTGACAGGTCAGCATCTACACATTGTTCCTTGCATGTGCCTCGGGAGAGCTGGTGGGGCATGAGCTCTGGGGATGCTGCTCTGGGATCCACACAGAGACAGGCAGAGACCCTGGTAGGGACCTGGCCCCGCCGGTTGGCCATGCAGCAGCCCTCCCTGGACTTCCATCACTGCTGTCTGTGGTCCCTGACTCCTGGGATGCCTCCCAGACTGTGGTTACAAAGGCACCAGCAGTACTTAAATTCTAAGGAGTGAGGATCAAAGCCACTCCTAGCTCTCCACTCTAACTCTCAATACAAATCATGCCCTGAAGGAAGCTTGCCTCCAGGAAGACGGGCAGCCACGTTGCAGGGCAGCATCACTGGAAGGTCTACAGCCAGGAGTGTGGCTCCGCTTTAGCAGAGCGGGAACCCACTAGGGTACAGGGAACTTTGCTAGGAGAGTTATCTGATCCTTAGGATAACCTCACTGACTGTTAACACCAGGAGGTCAGACTTGAGGGAGAACTAGTACACGAGAGGAAGAAACTTAACAGAAGCCCTCCCCTCCAAAGGCTGGTCACATTTCACCAGGAAATGCCTATCGATAGCAGCAATTTCCTGGATAACTCACTTGGTCACTGCTGGGGGACAGGTGTCTAGCAGCTTCCTCCCAAGGTCACACTGAGAAATGAAGACTCAATCATGGTAAAGCTGAGATTCAAATTTTGGCTTTCTAACTCAGTCTGTTTAACATGTGTGATGGCTTGTATCTAGATGTCTCTGCCAAAGCCTCATGTGGTCACTGGTGGGACCTTCTCAGAGGTGGCTGCATCTAGAGTGCGTGGGGCTGGGACTGACTCATGGTACAATGCTGGGATCCAGGGCACTATTAGGGTATGAGTGCTACCTGCCCTGAGTAGCCTGGATAAGAAAAAAGGGGCAGAAAGATGCTGTAAAGTTCCCTGTTATTTTGCTACTTTTTTTTTTGTACCGGGGATCAAAACCACAAGCTGGCACTTGCCAGGCAGGAGCTTACACTGCTGAGCTAAATCCCTGGCCCTTCACAGCTGTCACATGATGGGATTGAATTCAAGGTCTTTGCACTAGACTCCATCCCAACCCTTTTTCATTTTTTATTTTGAGACAGGGTGTTGCTACATTGCTAAGTTACACAGGCTGGGCGTGGGATTGAGATTCTTCTGCCTCAGCCTCCAGACTACTGTGGTTACAGATATGTGACAGAGAGCTGTGAAGATTGGAGACTCTGGGCATATAACAGGCGTCCCCGAACTGCCACTGTTAGCCATCGTAGGTTAAGGAAATTGCTAGACCTCTGAGTCTTTCTCCATGGAGAATAATCCTGGTCACACAGACGAGCCAGTCCAAAGCAGTGAGTCTTGGGTTCTTTTACAAATAAACGTAACAGTGCAACTCATACAGGGAGGGAGCGCTTGTGTGTTGTGGTTCAAACAACAGTTCAGAAAAGTGACACAGATACTTCCTTTAAGAAGCTTAGACACGGATCTTTCCTGGTTAGCCTAGTGAGACCCTGTCACGTCCTTTGCTCACAGTAGTGACACACCTAACATGCTCATCCAAATTCATGGCCCTTGTTATGGTACTTGCAGAACACTAGCTTTTATAGGGAAGGACTGACTGACTGATCACAGTACTGGGGATGGAACCAGGCCCTTGTTCACGCCAGACAAGCTACTACTGTGCTATACCCTTGATACTTTTAAATAAAATCATTCCATAAAGGCTAATCACTAGTATTCATTCTCAGGAGAGCCACACTCAGATGATAAGCAACATCATCTCCTCATCGAGAACTGAAATTCCCTGGAAAAGCCATAAAGATTCTGCAGGCTCCTCAACCTTGGATGACTAGAACACTGTGACTGTGAAGAGATGGAATGTTGTGGGTCGAGAGTCAAAATTATCTTGGGCTATTTTAGGCCTTCTAATAGCTGTCTACCGTAACTTTTGTATCTGACCTAATATTCTCATGTATAGTAAAGAATTCATCACTAAGTTTAGCAGACACTAAGTTTAGCTCCACCAACCCTAAAACTTAGAATGCTACAAGCCAACATCTGAGACCTGTGGAAGAGATTTCCCTACCTTGCTACGACACCTACGTGAAGTTCCTCCCAGTCACTGGAAAATGTATTGATGCATGACTTTCTTTTGTTCTGTGACTGTAAAAGTTCACATTACCTCTTCCACAGTAGTACATGTCATTCAGGGTAACCTGAATCCATGTTCTGAGGCCATGGTCATTCCTATTTCACTCATTATAAAGTTTTCTTATTTCTTTTAAAGCAGAGACATTATTTTATAGGGACACCATCTGCCCAAGGCACGCTGTCAATTGCTAGACAACTCACTCACTTCACAGCTCTCGAGTCATGTGGAATTCTTGTCCAAAGATCAGGACACTACCAGAGTCCTAACTGGTCACTACACAAAAGGTAAGGAAAGCCTCGCTTCCCTAAGACACGACTGACATTCAACACTCTCAAGAGACCCAACCTCCCATTTCACCCTCACTATTTGATCGACTTGGATTTGCCATACTCTGGGACAGTCGTGGGACAGCAGCCCGTGGAACCCGCACACACTTTCACACACAGTGAATGTGTGTGGTGGAGCGGCACCCCCTTCCCCTCCCCTGCTCCATATCCTGACCGCCTACCTCTTTGGAGCACCAGGCACATTTCGGGTGGATCATCAGACACTCTTCACAGGAGGAGGCACTCCCACTAGTACACATGTTGAGACCTTTAAAGCAAGGTAAAAATGCATCAATTAGCTCCTGGTTATAAATCTTATTGACAAGGGCTTTGAATGGCTTCATTCAAAGTGGGGCAGGGATCACTTTATACTTTAACAGAGGGTCGAGGCTAGGGGTACCCCATGCTAAATGCAGAGTAAGCCAGCCATTGGCTGAGTCAAACACTGAGCTCTGAAGATCCACCCTGCAGGCACCCTTGAGCAGCCCCATTTCTTCTGCTGGGTCCACTTAGGTTTCATTTCTTTCCTCCGTAACTCAGCAAACCTTCCCTCATCTGGAAAGAAGACCTTTTACAATCAGTCCACTCAAAAATGACAAGAAGAACAGAGAAGAAAGGAAGATAAGAACTGGTTGAGTTTCACTCAGGTACAAACGAAACAAGTACTATCTCATCACAATCTAGTATACAAAAGAAGTCACTGAAATACAGCGTTGGGTTAATGTAAAGGAAATTCACTAATTAAACATCTACTAACACACCTAGGAGGAAAATCATATCATTGCCTGGTGGTAATGAAAAACTGGTTGAAAAATTTCAAAACCCACCCCTGACTTATCTTTCTTTGTTTTTGTTTTTGTTTTGTTTTGTTTTTTTGGCACCAAGGATTGAACTCACGGCCTTGAGCTTGCCAGGCAAGGTGCTTATGCCACTGAGCTAAATCCCTGGCTCAACGCACCCCTGATTTAAAACAAACACACACACACCCAGGAAACTGCCTTTTCCTTGTAAAAGTTACTTATTTCAAATTCAAGCCAGCCTTCCTCCTCCATCTCTTCCTCCTCCCCCCACCCAACTAAATGGGGAGGGATCCCTGAGGCAGGCTGACTGTGGAAAAGAGAGGAACTCCACCGTAATCTCCCTTTCCCAGCCCACCGTGTTCCCCACTTGTACCTCACACGCTGTGGTAAAACCACAGAAACCCTGTATGTCAAGGAAACAGACCAGAGGGTAGGTAGTTACACTGTGACTTTGGAGAGAAGAGACCCCTGGTGGGTGAAGAGCAGCAGCTGACATGGAGGGCAGGAGAGGCCGGCATGGCCCTGAGACACTAGGAAGGGAGCAGGGAGACTCTGTGAGTGGCAGAACAGTGCTACCCACCAGCTGGAAACCCTGATCCTGGAACCTGGGCCCCCACACGCCCTGGAAATTGCCCTGTCAGGTGTCATGGGGCCTCAGCCCAGGATTCCTCAAATGCCCTCTACTGCCAGGCCTGCAGCAGAGTCCTGGGTGCCAGCTACGTGTGACCCTTAAGCAGGAAGGGGCCTCCCCGGTCAGACCAAGATCTTAGAACACGGCCAGCCAGGAAACGGGGCCCGCCTGTCACCTGCTCTCACTGACAACCTCTACTCAGGGCTTTTGAAACAGACATGCAAGCCTTTAAAAATCAGAGTGTGTGCTGGAAACGGGGTTTAAAAGGTCAGTTTTGCTTTTTAGTCAAATACCCTTAACCTTGCCAGCAACCACTAAGGAAGGAAAAAAAAATAAAATAAAATCTAGAATAAAAGCTAGCTTTCCTCCTCTCTTCAACCTTTCAAGTATAGCCTCAGCTCCCCACGACATCTGTTTTCTTTCTTTCTTTTGGGTTGTATAAAATCTTCCTGTCAAACAATGGAACTGTAGAAGCTTGCAGCTAGAAGTGCTTTAAGACAAGCTGGTAAGGTCACCTCATTACACAGATAAAATCAGGAGAAATGCTGTGTAAGTGACTGGACACAAGGAGCTCTGTCTACAATAATGGGGTCCACCGGGGTCCCAAGCAACAGGGGCCCATACAAGGCCAGGAGGCCTCCTGGTGACACAGGGCTGCTGTGACACTGAGATCCAAGCATCCTGGTGCAGACCTCTAAAGTCCCCAGGTCAGAAAGGAATTTAAGGTCAGAAGTCTTACTTAGGACTCTAGAGGCTCAACACATAAACTCACAAACAACTTCCTTATTAGCAGAGCTTGGTGACTGAGCTTCGGGACTGTGGTTTGGGATTTACAGCTCCGTCTCACGTCCACAGGCAGAGAAGACTGGTCTGTGGTCATCTGGCCTACTTGCTTCAAAGCCCTTGAGCAGTGCACCTAAACAGCTCCATGGATATGAGAGACCCCTGGTATGAAACACTGGACAACTATAAAAATAAATGTAACTGACGCTGCCTTACTAATTATTTCTAGTATTACTCCACATTCACATGCAATAAGCAAGTAGTTTCACTGTACTAAAATTAGGCTGCTGAGCCAGGTATGGCAGGGCAGCCTGTCATTCTAAGACTCTGGGAGGCTGAACCAGGAGAATCACAAATTTGATCCTGCCTGGGCAACCTAGTGAGAACTTGTCTCAAAGTATTTTAAAAGAGGGCTGAGGATGTGGGCCAGTGAGAAAGCTCTATGTTCACTCCCCAGTTCAATCAATCACTCAGGGTGCTGGAGGAGAAATCCAAACACCAGACACCCGGTACCAAGCATATTCCCAACACTGAGCACTAGACTGGGGAGGCTAAGGTTACCCAAACAACAGCCCAGACCCAGCAACCCAAGACCACCAGGTACCAGGTAGCACACAGGAGCTCCGGAACCCAAAGCCATGCTCTTTGGCATCTTTCCTCTCTCCACCTATTAATAGTTCAGAGTCTGGATTGGGCTGAATGAGTCGCTGAGCACCAATAAGCATTTCCAAAAGGAAGGAAGGAAGCAATGAATAAAAAACTACATAACTGCAGGTCACAAATGTCAGCGTATTGTGTGCTGGGTAGGGAGACAGGCGCGGGTGGCCCAGATAGTGCCCACGTCTTCTTTTGCTGTCTGCGTGGTGACGGCTGCCGGCCCCGCTTCAGTTGCCTTTCACCCTCTGGCTTCATGACTCTCCAGTCCAGGGTTTACTGCAAACTATAATCTAAAATTAAACTCCACTTCCAAAACACACTGACTCGCCCCTCTGACCAATCCCGGCGAGGCCACTCCCATGTCTGTCTGACCATTCCTTCAAGAATTGCTTCTCCTAATTCAACCCTTCCTGCCGGCCGTCCACTGCCAACAGCCCGAGCCTCAGGCCTGGCTTCCTCCTGCCTGGCAGCTCGTTCAGCTTCTCCCACCTCGGTCCACTCCACTCCTCAAAGGTCAGATCACTGCCACTGACGCATACATCCTGCAGCTGAGGTTTTCCCAGTCGAAGCATTCAATGGAACAACAGAAATAGAACAGAAGTGGGTACCAGGTTGGAATCCTCCTCCTGGCTTAAAGGCAGCTGGCACTGGGCTGCTCTTCCTCGTGCCTTTACTGTGTCTGTTACATGTTCCCTAAAACAGGCAAAGGTTCCCAGTGCAGAATCTGGTTAACTCTAAGGGGTAATCAAAACATAAAAGCAAAGCTTACATTTCTCAAAACTTATTACAGTGAAAGACACAGTGCCATTAATCCCCCTCCAAATACTTCCCTTCACTTCAGTCGTTCCTGTAGCTTTCTGAAGCAGTTCTGGATGTCCTCGTTCATAAATGTCATTATGAAATGTGATCAAAAATTCAATGAATGCTGCTTACAAGTGCAATCCAATGTAAAGGCAGCTTCCTAAAACATCATCCACTTTATTCACCCGAGCTGGCACTGCGTGGCTTCTGGCTCTTCCCAAAAGTCAAAAAGAGTATGAAGGTAAACCAAGATGCAGACTTGACAGCACAACTAAAGACACCCACGAAACAGGACTCCAGAACTGCTTCAGAAAGTGGCAGGAATGATGGGCTGAAGGGGACTAAAGTGAGAGTGGAGTTATTTTGAGGGGGATTAGTGGCAAGGAGTTTTATCTACTGCAATAAAATTTTTAAAAAATGTAAACACTGAACTATTTATCTTCTATAACCCTACGCTCAAAGATGTTACTATAAAATGCAATTAAGCCCTAGGACAGTGACAGCAAATCTTTTAGAGGCCAAATGCCATACTGCAACCTAAAACCCACTTATTTATCACCAAGTGCCAACAGTGTGCAATTAAAGTTGAAATACTGAGGCTTAGTTTAGAAAACACAACTCTACACTAATATCTTTTGTCTTAAAAGAAAAACACAATATAATACAGATGCCATAAGTTCACCACCACTGCCCTAGGAAGTCTCTAGCTGAGCCAGTTTCCTTCTCATGGTCTTTCTGGGTATCAGGCATCTGATTAACACCCAACTATACTGGCTTCACAGATACGACTTCTGTTTTTGAAGCACTGATTCCCACAATGGAATACTATACAGCTATTGAAAGAATGAGCAGTTCATTCTCTGCATACTGGTAAGAAGCTTACCTTCTACACACTGTAAGTTAAAAATAAAAAGCAAGATATAGAGCAGTACATTTAGTGTTGCTTTCAAATAAAAAAATAGGGGAGGTATAGTTGTCACATGTACACAGAATCATTGACACAAGGAATCTAACAGGAATCATCTATGTAGGAAAAAAGGGGCCCACAGGACAATACCCTGGATTAGACAGTGACAAGAAAGGGTGAGAGACTGCTTGCTCTATCCTATTATGCTTTTTAAAATTTATATGATGGGGGAAATAAAATAAAAATGCTATGCTGAGTTGGAGACACACACCTGTAACTCCAGCACCCAGGAAGGTTGAAGCAGGAAGATGCCCAGCCTGTGCACTTTGAGACTTAGTGAGATCCTGCCTTAAAAATAAAAAGGGCCAGGGATCTAACTTAGTACTTGGGTCCAATTCCTCAACCACTAAGCAAACAAAATAAAAACTTGTAATTCCATCTGATCATGAGAAAAATATGCCAACCCTTAATAGAAGCAAGACCTACAAAATAACGGACCAGTAATCAAAACTGTCAAGGTCATCAAAAACGAGGCACTGAGTAACTGTCCCAGCCAAGGAAAGCCCAAAAAGGTAAAGCAACTCCAGTAATGGGGTCCCAAGACGGGATCCTAAGGCACAGAAAGCCAAAACCAAGCCAGGCATAAGGGCACACACCTACAGCAATAGCAGCTAGGAGGCTGAGACAGAAGGATCTCGAGTTTGAGGCCAGCCTGGACAAACAGCAAGACTGTGTCAGAGGAAGGGGGGGGTGGTGGTAAAACTAAGGAAATCAGAACAAAGTACTAATTTTGGTTAGTGATAAGTATATTACTACGGTTCATTAATTGTAGCAAATGCACCGCACCAATGTAAGATGTTAATGTGAGAAACTGGTGTGGGATAGGTGGGGACTCTAGACTCAATTTTTTCATAAAGCTAAAACTGGTCTTTAAGTTTTTTATGGCAGCTGAAACCACAGAAGGGGAGAGGGAATCAGCCCACCACCGAGCACCTCAACGTCTGCAGTCACTTAGCCTGGCTTTGCCTCCATCAAGGACTCCAGCCACTGCATCCTGACTGGGTCTACTACAGACAGCCTCTTTCTCTCTGTCTCTCTCCCCTAAAACACTTTCTCCTGATGAGCCACACACACACCTGATTGGGAAACCGGGTGCAGACAGGTGAGCACAGGCTGCCTCCCACTCCAGCCTGGTGGCCGAGACTCACGGCCACCCGCCTTCACCCCTGGCGTCAGGTACCGCTCTAGGCATGGTGGATACAGTGCCGAATGACCCAGCAAACTGCCTGCACCCACAGATCTCACACCCTGGCTGGCAGAGCTGGACGAGGAACAAGGAGAAACCAAGGAAGGAGCTGGAGGACCTGGGACAGGGAGGCAAGGCTGACCGCGAGGGCAGGAGGGTGAGGGGGCTGCTCTGCTGTGCTCTCTGGGACGGGAGCACTCCAGGCAGGAGGAGGCAGAGCGGGAGGCTCCCGCTGCTGCACTGGAGGGCAGTGCAGGGAAGCTGTGAGAAAGGCAGGGAAAAGGAGGAGACTCCCAGTAGCCACTGGGGGGTTAACTCCATCCATGACCTGCCTGCAGTTTTAACAGGATCATGCTACCGGGATCAGGCACGGAAGGAGGCGCTAGCTCTGCCACAGATAATCCCCCAGGCAAAGGGGGAGGGGACCCAGCAGGGAGAGGACACCAGGCCATGGCGCTTCCCCCCCAAGCACCACAGCAGAATGAACCGACTGAATCTGCAGCCAACCCTGCCCAGGGACACTGCAGTCAGACGATTCGCTCTACAGGAGCCCAAATAATCCTCACTGACAAGTGGGTCTTTTACATTTTGAAAGACCACTAATCCCACTGCAACTGGACAGACAGAAAATCAACCATGGCCATGGGCTTTCCAGAGCCCTCAGTCCCAGAAACCAGAAATACCTGTTCAAGAGACCCTGTCCCCTGAGCCCAGCTGCACGTGGCCCTGGAAAAGACACTCTATTACTGTGTAACTGTCCCACATCACTGATATTCTTACAAATTCTCAGAATATTTCCATAACCAGGCTGATGAAGAAAAAAGCTGTTACTAAGGCAGGCGGGCACAAAAGGCCTTCAGCCAAACGACTTAGATATTTTAATTCTCCATTGCCTCTGTAGCTAAATAGCATGGAGAACAAGCAGGAGAGGAATACTAATTGAGCTAATTAGGCCCTGCCCTTTCTGCCTCAACCTCCTTTAGAAACCCCCCCTGACTCAGGATGAAGTTAAAATGTTAAAATAGCAGTCTGCCAACCAAGACTGCATTTGCAGCTCCTGTCCTCCCTTGCTAAGCCCGGCCAGGCTGCCTAAAGAGAGCTGCAAACGGCAGTTCAGGGAGGGATGCTAAGGGGAGGGTGCTGCCAGCTCAAGTCTGCTAAATAAAATAAGGGGCTTTTAGTACCCAGATCACTGGAATTTGCAGGGCATTTGCTCAAACATTTGATGGTTTTTGCAAAACAAACAAACAAATAAACACTATCATAGCAAACCTGAGTCGTGCAGCCAGATCACAACACCTCCTCTTTCTGTTCAGTGTGCAAGGGCAGCAAGAAAAAGCCTCACCCCAATTAGACAGGGCCCTGGTTTTGTCCTAGGGTCTAGTCTAGAGATACCCGATAGGGGAGGACGGTGGCTGTCAGCCCAGCAGGGACTTGTTGAACTGTAAGTCAGTTTTCTGCTGGATTTACTCATAATGTCTCTAGTGACACCCAGGTAGCCTTGGGCCGGCAAGTCCTCTTCCTTTGGGTAACTCTATGAAACTGTGTTCCTGGTTGTAAGGCAGACAAGATCTTTAGACAAAGTACCTGCAGCAGTGCTTCAAGAAAAAGGGGGCAGGGGCAGGGGCAGAATTTGAAAAGAAACACAAAATGTGTCAAGTTGGCTCAGCAAGGCAGGAAACTTGGAGAAACCACACAGGCTCCTGGTCTTGAAAGTGTTCAAGGCACTGGGGGTGGGGAGTGGGAGAAGCAAAGGGAACTCTTGAGGCCAGTGACCTGCTGAAACTGGCACAATCTGAACAGGAAATGGCAGAAGACAAACCTGTGGGCACAGATGGGTAAGTGGAGAAAGGAACCCCGGAGGCGGCATTGGAATGCACTGCCTGGCTCAGTGCTTTCTTGCTGTCTGAGCTGAGTCATGCAGGGTAAAGGGCACAGACCAAAAAGCCACTGATCCTTGGTCACCACTATCAGGTCACTACAGGTCAGGGCACAGGTAACTTGTCCTCCTGGGCCCATGTGCAAAAGGAAGACCCTTGTGAGAACATGCATGAACACTGAATGAAGGAAAGAAATCACGACACCAATGGAAAACAATGCCTTTAAAAAATTCTTTGCAACTCTTGAACGACTATTTGTAAGAGAACAATATGTAAACATCAACTAGATTTGTTTATTTTTTTCTTTGAAAGTATGTATTATTTCTATCCGTTTTCTGTTTAGTCTTTCTTTAAATAAAATTTTAAAAAAATTCTTTGCAACTGAAAATGATTTTCATTAGAATCACAGAGTGTCAAACCTGAAGATCTCCTTAGCAGTTCCAAAACTTTAATTTCACAGAACATGAAGACTTGGAAAAGCAAAACAGAAGAGAGGAAATTAATAAGGGTTGCTGGTTTTTACGCTGCCAAAAAAAAGTTAAAACTACTGTCACTCAATAGTAGTAAAGGAAAACTCTTTCGCCGGAAAAAAAGTATATAAAAAAGGCATTTAAACTAAAGCCCTTGTGAAGCAAGGGTCAACTGACAAGGACACTCGGACCAGTGTACTTCAGGGTGACATGTGAGAAGATTTCCCTGGGTTCCCAGGGATCAGCGCTGGTCACCAGTGGTTGTCTGGAACGCACTGATGTACTGAGCTCCAGAGTGACTTTTCCCATAAAGAAATCTTGCCACAGTATTAAGTTTGAATTAAAACCTGAACAGACTTTTTGTTTGCGCAGACCCCTCCTCTGCTCTCACCTGGAAACCTCCTGGGCCTTCTAGTAATAGCGACCGGTTCGGGGAACCACCCTCCACTCCCGCAGCCAGGCAACCACCAGGCTCCGAAGAGCTTAAAAGTGAAGCGCGCACCCCAAGTAACCGCTGGTACTTCCTATGGGAAAGGTAAAAGTTTAAAGCTTCCTTCTGTTCTTTGTTTGCCCGCCAGCCCGGGTCCACACCGTGCATCTTTCCTCGGGTTCCTAACTTCACACTCAACTAGGGATTCTTACCCCAGGAGGCCCAGTGCCCTGGCACGGCCGCCAGCCCGGGGCTGCACCAGGGTGAGGGATCTGCACAGCCCCGCTTCCTCGGCCAGGGCGGCGCGCGGCTTGCAGCGCCCGTGGGTCGCGGGATTGAGCAAGGCAAACATCAGACCCAGGCCTCCTCGGGGTCCTAGGTGGGGTGTGCCCTAGGGGACTCCCCGGGTGTGCGGCGGCTCGGGAGGGACCTGCGGGACTCATCTCTAAAGGAAAGCCAACCAGGACGTGCGTGGTGAAACCCGTGAACGCTCCGTGCCAGGAGCGAGTCCCGCGGAGCCGCCGCGCCACGCGGGGGCTGCAGAGAAGACCCGCGCGCGCCTGGGGTCAGGGGCCGCGGCACCGCTCCACGCCGCCCCGCGCCTCCCGGGCCGCCACAAGAGCTGCTTTGTGCCCGCGAGTGGAGAGCCCGGCCCGGTGCGGGGAGGGCGCAGGCGCTGGCGGACCGGGTCAGCAGACGGGCCGGGCTGTTTACACAGGAAGGGAGGCTCCTCCTCGGCCCAGGAGGGACGCGGGCTCCGGCGCGAGGCGGAGACCTGCGAGTGTCCCGCGGCGCCGGCCCACCTGGAGGCGCCCCCGGCGCCCCGCACCCTCCAGCGGCGCCCGGTGCCTGCGCAGCCGAGCGCGCCGCCAACTTTCCCCGACTCGGCCGCTCGGCCCGGGCGCGGCTTACCTGCGAGGCGCGGCACGAGCGCGCAGAGCACCAGCAGCCAGGCGGACCGGGGCGCCGCGGCCCGCCGCATGGTGGGCGCCGGGTCTCAAGGGCGGCGCGGGCGGCGGGCTCGGCGGGTGCGCGCGGCGGGGGCCGGGGCGCGGGGGCGGAGGGCCGGGGGCCGCGGCCGCATGCCCAGCGCGGGGCGCCGGCTCAGGGCGCGCGCGGCCGGACGGGAGGCAGGGGCTGCGCTGGCCCGTGCCCCGCCGCCACCATCCCTCCGGGGCGCGCGCGGCCGAGTCCCAGGGCCGCCGCTGCCTGGCTGCCGGCCGGGACGCCGGTGTCGCCGAGCGGGATGCTCGGGCGGGCAGCTGCTCCCGAGAGCTCGGGACGCCCTCGCGCGCCGCACCGGGCACTCGCCTCCGCCCCTTCCCTCGCCCTCCGGCCCGCCGGGCTTCTGCTTTCTCCTTCTCCCCTCCCTCGCTCCCCTCCAGCCCAGCCAGGCCGCAGCCCGGTCAGTTTACTGCTAGGCGGGGCGGGGCGGGGCTTGCTCTGGGCCGGGCTGGCTCCGCCCTGAGCGGGACTGGCGGGAGGCACGGAGGGCCCAGGCGCCCAGGTGCAAATCCTTTCTGTTGCTCCTTAGGGTTGGGGGTCTAAAATTACACGGGAGAGGCAGGGCAAACTCCACTACTAGAGTTTAGATTACTTGGACTAAAAGTGATTATTAGACTTCAGGAGCCAGAGCCAGTATTGCCCTTCTGGTCCTCTTCCGCCGGACTTCCCAGCCAGCCCAGCTGAGGCGCCCGCCAATGCAGCCTCAGGGCAACACACTGAAAGGGTAGAGGAGTGTGTGGTGGTTATTTTTGTTTTGTTGCTGGGACAAAACACCGGATGTCCCTAATTAAGGAAGGAAAGTTTGTGGAGGTATCATTCCATACCTGGCTGGCTCCAAGGCAGGGTGACATAGCAGAGGGCAACAGTTCATGGTCCTTGCAAGATAGGAAAAGCAACAAGAGCAAAAAGAGAGGCGAGAAGAGAGAAGATTCTTTCTGTCCCTCATACTGTATGTAGGCCACCCATCCGAGCAGTCACACCCATGATCCCAGCATTGGACTGAGAATCAATCATAAATTCTACAAGCCTGCCCCCATCACTGTATGACGCTTTGTGGGGGGTGTGGGGGGGGGGACACCCAGACAGAAACCATAACATTCCACCCCTGGGCCCCCCAAAGATTTATGCATATCCCTTTTTGCAAAAGTCCATCTCCAAGAGTTGCCAAACTTCTAACAATTCCGTAGTCTTCTCTGAGATTTAAAGCAAACTCTTAGCTGTGGGCCCCTGTACAAATAAAAACAAAGTTAAATGCTTCCAATATACAATGACACAAGATAAACATTTTCATTCCAACGGGTACAAATGGGTTACAAAGCATTGGGACCAAAGCAAGTCCAAAGTGCCGCAGGGCAAACATTAAGTCCTATAGTTCCATATAGACCAAAGTAAACTCTGGTAACTTGTGAGCTCCAAAAGGTTGTATAACTCTGCCCCTATAGCACTTCCAGTGGTTATAACTCCCAGGGCTTCTCTCCTATGCCCACTCTGCTCAGTCCTTGCAGCTTTCCTTAGGTGATCCACATTCCTAGCTTTTCCAAAATTCTGGGTTGTCCCCTGCACCTTCACATACTGCCTTCTCAGGAGCACACTGGCCTGGTCTCCCAGGACTTCTTCTGAAATCAGGATGGAAGCCTTTTTAACCTCAGAACTGTTGCATTCTGTATGTGCCTAAAACCAGCACCACATGGATGATGCCAATGTCCACTGCCAGCTGGAGCAAGTATCCAGGCTTTCCTGTCTCGACTGTAGGGGTCAAGAGCTGGATTGCTTTGCACTCTGAACTTGATTCTGAGGAACAAATTCGCTATGTGACTGCCATTCTGGAACTCTGTATGGCTCCCACCATTTTGGAATGTGGTGCAGCTGCCACTGCCATCCTGGAACTCAGTGTGGCTGCTGCCATTCTGGAACGTGGTGCTTGATGGCTTTGTTCTCAAAGTGAAGACTTTCACTTTTGCAGTTTTGAGATTACAAAGCATGGAACCTACTGCTGCTTGTGATGCCCTAAGGCTGTCTTTTCTAGTCTCTTCTCTATTCTTATCTCTCAACAGTAGAGATTTCAGTTCTATCTTTGCAGTCTACAGCTTTACTGGAGCATCCTCTTTGGCCAAACGCAGAACATTTTAAAACATCCTGCTGGGCTCTTTGCTCTTGATTTATAACATAAATCTGGCTTTAAAAATCCAACAATAGGGGCTGGGGATTTAGCTCAGTGGCATAAGCACCTGCCTTGCAAGTGCGTGGCTGTGCATTTGATCCCTGGTACGGATTTAAAAAAAAAAAAAAACAACAATAGACATGCCATTGCCCCAACAGTAGACTGCCTTGAAATTTTTCCTGCCAGGTTAGTCAACTGCTCTTAATCTAAGTATCAGGCAAAACCTCTAAACATGAGCAAAATGTAGACAAACTTTCTGACAAGATTTAATACACATCATCTGGAGCGCAATAATTAATGCAGTCCTTCCCAGCAAAAACCTCCCAAATCTGGTTTTTTTTAAATCAGTACTGGGAATCAAACTCACGATGGCGTGCTTGCAAGGCAGGCTCTTATGTCGCTGAGCTAAATCCCCAGCCCCACAAACTTGGTTTTAATGGCAGGATTTCTATTAGCCTCCTGCTCTCTCTCTCTTTTTTTTTAATTTTTATTTTGAAAGTAGTAAAATAGAACAAGACAGAATAAAGCCAACTGAGACAGTGTAGTGAAAAGAACTTCATAGCAGGTTACCAGGATAACAGTAATAGGTATCACAGTATATCTCATTATCTTCACAATAGTTGTTATTTCAATAAGGTATAGCAAAATCAAATGAAATACAGAACATTATAGAAATTATCAAAACAGAATATTAAATAGAGCAGTACTATTAATCAGAATAAAGCAAAACAGTAATAAAAATATTTGCCTTCAAAGTTATGGTAGAAGGAAATCCCCCTTATTTGCTATGATCAACCTCCCAAGAGATGCTCAGATTTCTGGTTCCCATTTGCTAACAGAGGGTAGGGGAAGTGGGATGTTTGACTCTCAGCCCATGCACCAGTAGGCTCACTACTGCTTAGCAGGGAGGCAGGCTGGCTGCTTGGTTTTCCAGTGCCCTAAATTCCAACATGGCACAGATCTCAGGAGATACTGGCGATTCTCCCTCTGGAGGGGCCACAGCATGCCACACCACAGCCACTTACCAGGAAGGAGAGCTGTTTGCTTGGTTTCCCAGTATCCTAAGTTCCAACATGGCGTGGATCTCAGGAGACACTGGTAGTTCTCCCCCTGGAGGAGCCACAGCCTGCCACACCACAGCCACTTACCATGGAGGGGAGCTGCTTGCTTCACCTTCTGCTCTCTTAACCTCTGACCAGAATTTCCCCTACAGAACAGCCTAATCCATTCCAGCTCTACTCTTTCAGGTGACATCTCTGAACTTTCCAAACTCTTCCCAAAAACCATTCCCAAAGGCTCTTGAACCACATGGTCAGTTATAGTCACAGAAACTCCCCCATTCTGATACCAAATTCTGTGTTAGTTACTTTTGTCTTATTACTGGGACAAAATACCTGATGCCCCAAATTAAGGAAGGAAAGAAATATTTAGCTCATAGTTTGTGGAGGTTTCATTCCATATTCAGCTGGCTCCAAGGCAGAGTGGCACATGACAGAGGAGCAATAGTTCATGGCAGCAGGAAGACAGTAAAAACAACAAGAGCAAAAAGGGAGGAACATGGAGAGAAGACTCTTTCTGTCCCTCATATTGTATGTAAAACACCCACCCCAGCAGACATACCTATAATTCCAGCACTGGACCATGAATCAATCACAAATTCTAGAAGCCTGCCCCTGTCACTGTATGAGGCTTTGGGGGGACTTACAGACATAAACCACAAGAGGAGGGAAAGGGGAGGCACAGATAAAGCCCACGGTTCACTTTTTAACCTTCTGTCCCTTTGGAGGATTGGAGACTGGTCAATGTGCTGCTAGTTTAGTTTCCCTAAAACTAAACTACATCAGTGTATTACACTGATGTTTCAGTGACCAAACTGATAAATTCTAAGGCAGATATCTTACCATTTACATCTGAGCTGGATCTGAAATTTCCAGTTAAGGAATGGGGGAGGGGACTCAGTTCTCAGACAACTTCTACAAAAGATGTGATAGGCTTGGCTGGGCCTCACGAATGGATCCAATAATCAAATGGGTTGAGACCAGAATGATTTATAACAGGGAGAAGTGGAGCATTTGTGTAGAAGGAAGTAATAACAGGATTCCTAACATGATCAGAAGAATGATACCAATCAGGTACTCTGCTAAGTACAACACCTGTATTATTGAATCTCCCTGTTATTCCGGATGAGGCATCCAGGATTTAACTTGCCAGAGGAAGTGATAGCTGGAAGATGGCTAACCAAAGAACAGAAGCAGTAAAGAGTAAATAGCAAAGTGTTCCCATTTTTGCAGGTCAGGAGCCAGCAGGAAGGAGGGCTTAGAGAGCCAGGTGGACAACCATCCCAACTTCCCAATTTCAGGATTTTGGATTTTAAGCTATGTGTGTGCCCATGTCCACCTCCCAAATGATGGAGGAAGCCCCAGTGCTGAAGAAAGTAAATTTATTCTTGTAGTACCGTGTGCCTGGGGGCAAAATTACAGCCGACCTTGGCATGCTCCACATTTTGCTGACTGTCTGCATTTTAGCCTTAAAATGCATGTAAATATTATTGCATTGTACAGTTTCCTTATTTGTTCCTTGTTTGTAAAAATGTTTGGCTTCATTTTCTAGTAAGGCTGGTGTTTGTAGAAGCTGCCCCAGGTTTATCTTGGCATTACCTGCCCCTCAAAGCAGTGGTATGGGGGCAACTCTTGGCCACTTGGAGAGTTGGTGATTATAATTAATGGGAAGCCAAGGAAAGAGTTTAAACTGGGAGACATCATACGATAAGTGGTCATTGCCAAATGGTAATTTTAAAAGATTTATTTAACAGGAATGTGTAGGATGGATTAGATGAAAAAGGAGAGTAGTCCCAGAGACTGAGTAAACATGGTGTTAAGAAGGACACCTAATAACTTGCATATGCCAAGCATTCTTTACATTTCGGCCTTGTAGTGTCAGATCTTCTAGACACTTTCCCTGTCCTAAACTGGGTGTTTCATAGCTGCTGAAACATCCCCCTTCGTCCCACACCCAGCGCAGACACCCTTTATCTGGAAAGTGCTGTGACCCAACCTTCCCCTTCTCTGCTGTTCCCAAGCCACCTCCCATCTCACCTGGTGTTCCCGCCAGCTCTCAGCCTGCCTAGACCTGCATAAACCTCTGATCTGTAGTGATCCAAGTTCCATTATTTTAAAACCTACTTGAAGATGCCTGTTATAATTCAGAGCTTTTGCTTTCTG